AAGCGTCGTTGTAAGTCTCAACACGAGTAAAAATTGAACTAGTATTGTGATGTGAAAACCGCGAATGTCCAGTAGGTATAATAGGTAACGTACTATACTCAAGTTTAACATAAACCTAGTCTGAGAAGTCGCAAAGCGTATAAAAAACAGAACCTACTTACTTATAGTAATTATCTATATGCCTAAACTCTCACATCATACGAAAAGTAAAATACATAAGTATATCAATCTCGCCGTGTTTCATGCAGAACAACTGCCCAGAAAATCAACAAGAATGAAGATGTAGAACCTACTTAATTTTTTCCTCTCCGTTATAATGAAGTTTTAAGCAAGACCATAAACTTGAAATAAAAAAATACATAGCCTAGTGTGCCTTTTCATTGGTCGGTTCTGTAAAAGTTAAGTTTCAAAATCCAGATTCATCGTTGCTTTTAAAAAAGAAAAGTTGCAAAGTACAAACACCCGAACATACAAATTCCTCTCTAATGTAACCTAAAGTTATCTAGTTTTCCTTGGATACCTACACCGCTTAAGTTCGGCCGGTCTTAACTGACCTTACTTCAACTGCAATAGTTGATGCAAGTAATATTTTTGCAATGCAACGCTTGCGAACGGTTGCATACGCAACAAATGACGCAATTAAATGGTTAATGTGACGTCCTGGATTATAATATTGTTATGTCATAGCTCTATGAAACATTACGTAGTTGGGTTTAGAAGAAATTGGATATTCGTCACCGAGGAAAATGTTATAAGAACCTCGCAATTCTAGCGTAGAAGGCTAATACATATTTCATATTTGGAGTAATATGCCATATTATGTTAAAAAAAAATATGACATTAATGGCAATAAGTCTCTGACTATTTTAAATTTATTATCTGTGGCAATGATAATGTCAAAGAACGGAGTACCAAACGTATTGCTTATATTCTCTTTGCAGAGCACCCATTAAATATAACAGAAATGGAAATATAATTCCATTTTTAACGATAAATTGTATTACAGGTGCACAGATTTGGGGAAAAACATACAGCATTTAATAACCTATACAAAATAAATCAAAAATATCCTTAAATGCAACTATCAAAACGAAAATGAAATCAATATATCAATCTGTCGCACATTTAGGCCATTCGATGTGTGACACTGATAGGCAAGCGTCAGAAGCCATATAAAATATTTCATTGCCTTAAAAAAATAAGTAATTATCTTTGGTAATAGCTTAAAAATGTTAATAGGTACAGATTCCGGTACGTAACAATCTATTTTATTACAACTTATTTTAGTATTTCGATGTTGTAATATTTATAATTGGCATGCAAGACAGAAGCAAGGATAACATTTTATTTAAAGCAGCTGTAGGTCATAAAGTTGACCTTAGTTTATTTATGCACAAATGATGACCTTATGAATTCGTATGTAAGGTTTTATTCATTATACCATAGATTTACATAAGATTTATTGGATGGATAAGACTGATGTAAGATCAGGGTGACCCAATGCTATTGGCCCCGAAACTTTAATGTTAACCGTGGCTAAAAGCCAAAAACCATATTGTTTGAGGTCAAAACTTAAATCACTTAGTACTTTAAACATATTTGGGACAATGTATCCTTTTACCGGTTAATATTTAGGTACCTTATTAAGTTAATATATACTCAATAACTAGTGTTTTTCTGGAATCTAAGTTCATATGGTAAGCCGAGGTCGCGGGTGAATTGCTGTATGTGTTCTTACAGGGCCACGGATGCAGGATCCAACTCCTGCTCTGCATCCGTGGCCCTGTAAGAACTTGGAAAACAGATTTTTACTTTTTACTACCCGAGGTTGGATTTTATACTTAATAGGTACTTACAAGAGCCTGATTACCGAATAGCTAATTGTTATCCTCAAACAAATAAAAATTTAAATCTGAATTATTGAAATTACTCGTACTCATATTAAAGTTCTTCAATACCATGTGCCATTGTTTTGTGGAAGTGTGTTGTTCATCCAACCAGGAAAACCCACGAACCGTCACGTAAGCACGTCACAAGTTATAAGAATTTAACGTTTTTGTTACTACGTAAAAATTATGTAGGTAATTAAAACCATTTACGTTCAGTACGGTACCCATATTTTTTAAAACACGCGTTTTATTTCCCTGGATTGTTTTTCATTTGCTACGTGATTGGGGACAGCGAATTTATTGCCAAGTGTCGATCATAGATCCAGACGCCATGTTCTAAGAAGTATGACGTTTTAATCCCCCGAACCGACCCGAATCCAAATTCAACCGGGAAATTTATTCAAAATGTATTTACCCGCTTCCGAGGATCAAAGTTATAAGAAACATTATTCGAGACGCCAATGACAGAAGGCGTAAGTAAAGATAAATATAATTTCAATACTCTAAGTACGCCAACCGGCAGGGACGGTTCTAGGGCGGTTCGAGCCATGATCGAGCGCCATCAATTTAGGACGCCAAAACGAGCCGCAAACTTACATAAAAATCACCCAATCGAACTTTTTAATACTAATAAAAACAATCGCTCGGTACCTAAAAAAATATACTTACACTTAACGGACCCATACATGTATAGGTGTGTACTGTGTAATAAAGGTTAAAAGGTGTGACATAGTTTAATAAAAAAAAATCAGGTCTTTTTTTGTTAACATACCTACCCGTTATATTCATCAAAGACACGAATCATCATGAAAACATATAATAAGTTACTACATACAAATATAATGAGTCAAAGTTTACCAATAACCCTCAAATGCTATAGGTATTTCTCACTGACCTACTGACTTAGAAAACGCGTCCGAATTCGCTGTGCATTTTTTTCAATGCGATTGTGACATCGTGTTACTTCAATTGTTACGTTTGCCGTTTTTTTATTATTTGCTTAGATCGAAGAATATTAGCTTTGACTGACATATTGTGGGCTGGACATTTTTTTTTAAATTAGTTCAGGGTTAAATACTTGCCTTACTGACCTTTATCTAAAGGCCTGTTACAAGTATATGAATTACTAGCGACCCGCAATTCATTCACGAATGAGAATTGGTGCAATGCTGACACTAAATTTCTCAATTATTTAATGGATTTTAATAAGTACCTAAACGTTTCTATTTAACCCGTTGAATGTCGGTTTATAAGACACAATAGAAAATACATTGTGTCTCGCGTGGATCCACGTATAAAACACACGATCGGTTAATCACACTATCTATTAAAAACGGCATCAAAATCGGGCACGTGGTTTTAAAGATTTAAGCATATCTACATAGGACATGCTTAGGACAGAGAAGACGACTGAGTTTTAAACTATGTAGAGATATAAGCTAATCTTAATTGTGGTGACCCTCTTACGCTTAAAATTAGCTTAAATCTCGCTTTCAACACAAATGGCTCAACTTAGGTCAGCTGCAACAGCTAAGGTTACCTGAGCCCCAATACTTCCCCTTCTCTTATCTCTCCCCAGACCATACATTTCTGAACTCTTAACCACATATAGGTCGTTAACGCACTCGTATCTCCTCCGTCCATGAGCGGCGCCGATTGCTCACCATCAGGCAATCGCCACCGCCTCCATATTTTCCAGTAAATGTTAAAATTACTCTAATGTCCCGACTCTGATTCTGATAGACAGGAATCATTACAACACTTTTTTCTTGAATAAGTCAGATAGACTAGGTACTTTCATTACAGACGTCCTAGTTATTAGTTGAATGTAGACATGAGGTCAGCATAACGATTAGCAGTAAACCGATCACTTTTTAAATAGCTTTTGTTACATTTCTGTTTTATTACTTAATTCTACAACGACTGCACTGTTGCTGCAACAGCTAAGTAATTTTAGGAAATCAATTAGGTAAGTGTAAGAGTCGATGTAGGTAAATTTTTATGGTCCAAAACGAGAAGCCTACCAATGCTAAATTTCGGGACCTCTGCTGGAACGAACGCCAAGTTTTCCATTTATTACGATACTAACGAAGGCCAAGTCTTCCATTTATTACGATACTAGCGAACAGCCCGGCTTCGCACGGGTGCAATGTTTATATTTTAAACCTTCCTCTTTTCAATCACACTATCTATTAAAAAAACCGCATCAAAATTCATTGCGAAGTTTAAAAGATATACATGCATACAAAGGGATATAGGGACAAAGAAAGCGACTTTGTTTTATACTATGTACTAATAGTCATAACGATTGCAATTAGAATTATTACCTAGGAACACTTACCTACTTATGAAACTGTTTTACGTATAACTTCTTACATGAAACATTATGCTTAAGTATTATGTTAGTGACAGAACGAGTATTTTTAATTTAGTACCTATGTTTATGCAATGTTCTTGATTCAATTTATTTCTACATTGGCACAAGATAAGGCATTGATTGTAATATAATGTTAAACACCTTATTTCACAGCCATAAAGTTGAGATCTAGTAATGTTTAAATTAATAACGTGCTTCATAATTCTTATATAAAAAAAATATTTATTCGAAACTAAGTAAAACGGTCGTCCATTTTGTCCCTAGCAACATCTCTTTATTATTTGGCAAGGTTTTCTCTTATGTTACCACTAAATTGATGTGATGACCATGAATGAGTACGATTAACAAACCTTGAGGCTTGATTTTTGTAGGCAGATTGTTTTTCCTGTCATTATATCAGATACCCGCATGGTTGGATATCTAAATTAAAATACCTTTACACATATCTTGCAAATTTTAAATTATTTACCAATTTGAACCGGTTTTTTCACAATAAAAATTTAACATAATGGGGAAAATAAGAACGAGTAATTTTTTATCCTTAAATGAAATGAATTGTCATTGAAATTAACACTACAATAAGAATTTATATTTATTTACAACAAATAATGCTATTTAACACATTTTAATAGTATTAATCGCTCGTTTTGCGTATCGAGAATACCTTCCGCTCTTTTTTGTCTATGGACTGCGCATGTATCCAAACTCTAGTTTACTAATGATAAAAAAAGTTCCACAATTGTCAATTCTCACTTGACAATCATGGCGAGCACGTCGAGGTCTGTTTTTCTGATTTATTTTATTCCTGTTTCGTTATTTACGACGATATTTATGTATTGTACAGCTGAATATAATTTATGTTTGCTATGATTATATGTAAGTTTACGTTGGTGCTAATAAAGTGTAGCAAAAGGCGACGACATAGTTGTTTCCCAAAGATTTGATTTCTACTTGTTGATGAATGATGAGCCTACTTTCTTTTGTGGTTTTAGGCTTGAGGCGAATAAGGTGGTGTGCTATGCACATCCAGATGCACCACTTATCGAAGATTACAGGGCTGGGGACATGATATGTTCAGAATGCGGGCTTGTAGTCGGCGACAGGTATGTAACAAAATGTTTGTTTGGCAATATTTACGAAACGCATTGAGCTTTTCACCACTGGTATAGTGTCGTAATAATAACAAAGTTGCTGAACTAATGCGAGTGATGTATTTGATTTCTATTCTTTCGAGGTCGATCATTAACTGACTAATTGTGTTATGTGGAAACTTCGAATTGCATATAGGAACTAATAATTATAATTATTAAGCTAATCACACTAACGCCTCTAGTCTTACCAACAAGGATTAGCTTAAATAATCTGTAATTCTAAGCTACAGTGTAACAAGAGATTTAAAGTAGAAGCTAATAGATGTGCATGTGGTATTTTATTACATATTTATAAGTTTGTATGTAGGACAGATCCATATGAATCTCAATACATGAAACAGATTTGTTTTCCATTAGTAATAGTTTCCAAATCACAGTTTTGAAATCTTGTTAAAATTTTCAGAGTTATTGACGTGGGGTCAGAATGGCGTACATTCAGCAATGAGAAATCTGGAGTCGACCCATCTCGTGTTGGTGGTCCGGAAAATCCTCTTCTTTCTGGTGGTGACTTATCCACGATCATTGGGCCTGGACGAGGAGACGCATCATTTGACAGTTTTGGAGTATCAAAATATCAGAACAGGAGGAATATTAGCAGCACAGACAGGGCTCTGATAAATGCATTTAGGGAAATAAGCACAATGGCCGACAGAATCAACTTACCAAAGACTATAATCGACAGGGCCAACAATTTGTTTAAACAGGTATGTAGAAATATGCTATAATTACTGGAAGTTGGAAAATGCAATACTTTATCAGTATGATTTATTCTATGATGTACACTTGGAAGTTTCTTTTAAAATAATCATTATTGCAAAGCTTAATTTAATCTTCAGTTATTATTTTGGATTGACACTGAGTGACTTGTTAGTTATAAATATTCTTAGCAGTATGGTAGGTTAACATCACTACATAATATAAAACTAAGTCAAAATCATAAATGTTATGAATTTTATATGTAATGAATATTATTCTTTGTTTTGTATTCAAGCATGGTATTTTTTTTTGCATAATTCTACAATTTTAGTTAACAATTGTAACTGTAACTGTTAACTGTACCTGTTGTAGTTAATAATTCAAATACAGATACTATTAAAAATATAAACTCTGAAAATGTACAAAATATATTTAGAAGCTTTGCATGTTAATATTTGCTACATAGGCATCATGAAAATATTACATTATGAAATATATACATTGTATTTATATTGTGGTAATATTTTGTGCATAATTCTTGACCTTACCAACTTAGCCATGTAAGAGAATATAATTAGCATCTATTTGAAGGGCACAGGCTATGCAACAATGTTAAAGTTTAACAGCATATTGTACAGATTGGTTAGTTGTCATAACAAATATTGTTGACAAACAGATCTTGCGTAATGCCACAATAATGTCTATTCTTTTAATAGATAACCATTCTTACTAAGTATTGAATTTTATTTCACTTAGAACCAGTTTGCGAAAGCCCGATCAATGTTAAAATCTATCTAATCTCTTGTCAAGTCATGTGATTGGTTGACTGAATTATCAACAACCAATCAGATGATTTGACAAGAGATTTGACACCTAGTTAATTGATTTTAACATTGATCCGGCTTTCGAAAACCGGGCATTAAACTCTATCTATAAATATAAAAATTAATGCTACTTTTCGTTGTTATTGTAAAACTCAAAAACGGGCATAACTAACTGAATGGTTTACACTATTTAGTATATGGTTTATGTGTGCATGCACAAAATTGGTAAAGCGGTGAAATTGGTGTTGTTTATATATAAACTACTAGCAGCCCAGTATTTGTTACAATGAGAGATATTGCTAGTTACTTCTTTATTATTCTTCTTCTTTAAGTTTTCTCTCTCACTCCTATACCTATAAATGTAACGTACGCCAAAAACACTTTATTATCCATGTACATTAGACATTTACATTGGATCTTCTATTTTGTTCCCAGGTGCACGATGGTAAGAACTTGAAAGGTCGAGCAAATGATGCGATAGCCTCAGCCTGTCTCTACATCGCTTGTCGTCAGGAAGGAGTCCCTCGTACGTTCAAAGAAATCTGCGCAGTCAGCAAAATCAGTAAGAAGGAAATAGGACGGTGTTTCAAACTGATTTTGAAGGCTCTCGAGACTTCAGTGGAACTTATCACCACAGCGGACTTCATGTCTCGTTTCTGCTCCAATTTGGGTCTGCCCAATTCAGTGCAAAGAGCTGCTACTCACATCGCAAGGAAAGCTGGAGAGCTGGACATTGTGTCTGGACGCAGTCCTATTTCTGTGGCAGCAGCTGCAATTTACATGGCTTCTCAGGTATGTTATTGTACTATATTATTCAATTATTTAATTACGAGCTTCCGCAAGCGTCTTCACGCGCATGGTATGTTGTTAAAAGTCTTTATCGAATTGGTTTCTGAGGAGTGTTATAGGTTTTAAAAAGATACTACACAATCACCGAAATTGTGCAGGAGGAGCTAGTCATTTATATAAGTGTTAAGGTGTCTCCGATCAATAAGGTTCTATTTAATATGTATAAGCTTAAACAATCTCTTGTGAGACTTTCTTGTCAATGAAATGTGATCATGCTCTGAATTTTTCATGTTAACAATGAAGTATGATTCAACTGATAAAATGTTTTAAGTATTGGTTTTTTGCAGTTGTTCAAATAGCTTTTAATTAGCTACAAGTAAAATTAATTCAGGCATACAATTTATTGATATTTTTTTTTGCAAGTCAGACTAAATAAAGGTTTTCTTTAACACATAAAATGCACAAATAAATTCATTAAAATAAATGTTTAAAAAAATTGTTAGGATAGGCTCAAAAGTTCTTTACTTTTAATATTCCTTTTTTCTAAACTGATATTTTTTAGTATAATTATGAATGTAAATTAAAAAGGTTTTTACAATTTCTTTAGAATTTGATTCTTTAGTTATCAATAGAATTACCAGTATGAATAAAATTAATAGTCACTGGGTCAACTCCTGTCAGAGTTGTAGGTAAAACAGAAAAATGTTCTGGGGTCCTGCTTGGAGCAAAAATATTAATGGTTTTTATTCAGTTAGAGTCAGACTCTTCCTTCCTGTTTCATTCAGGTCTCACTGGATATTTTCCCTCTTTTGAAAATGCCTACACAAGCACCTGTTGTTACTAGGTCTTTATTTATTAGCCAGTATAAATTGACTCTGCTATGTGCGGTAAGATGATTTAAAGCTAGACCATGATAAGCTGGTTCTGAACTTCTGATAGCTTGTGTAGTTGTGTGTACACAGAAATGAATCATAACATACTTGAGCAGAATTCGCACACTAGTGTGCAAACAAAATGCTTAAAATAAATATTTAAGGTAAGCATGTTGTTTTTAAGCAAATATTTCATAAAAACTTGACCTTGTATTAACATTGGTGTAATCTTTGTAAGGACGAGGGAAAATAATGTTAAAAACGTACCTCTTAAATTTTATGTCTTATTTAAATAGCATATAATATTACATTCTAATGACGCATGACGTACTGGTTGTTTAATAATGTTTTTGTAGTGAGTTTACTCATCTTTTTTCACCAATTTTATTACATATTTCAGTTTTATTGTTAATTGATAAGTTGTCATAAAAAAATCTTTTTTCAAAATTTCAAACAAACAATCCGTTTCTTATGAATTTACTACGGGATTGTGCGTTGTGGCCTCAAAAGTGATATTGACTTAATTTCTGTAAACAACAATGCATTAAACTAAAAATTCGCATGAACAATTAATAGACAACAAAAATAAACTAAGACACATTTTCTCACATTTGTTCATATATTTTTTATTATTATTTCCAGGCGTCAGAGGACAAACGCAGTCAGAAAGAGATAGGAGATATAGCCGGCGTGGCGGACGTGACCATACGTCAGGCGTACAAACTCATGTACCCGTTCGCAAGTAAGCTGTTCCCAGACGACTTCAAATTCTCAACGCCCATCGAGTTTCTACCCCAAATGTAGACGCAGGTACCCCATATGGCATCAAAATAAAATCGACAGTAAATTCAAAATGTTAGAACGATGTTTGAACGTCGAAATAGTGGATTTTCTGACACGCAATGTTCTTTTTCTCTCGTAGTTACTAATTCTGATTTTATATTCTTTCATCTTTAAAAACTATTTTTATTTTGTTATTCTCGTCTTAACGTCAATGGGGTACAGTTCAATTTTGATTGGATTATTCTATTTATCTATGTAATATGTCTATTACTAAAAGAGAACACAAATATATATATCAAAATAAAATAGTATTGTCTCGTGCCAAGAACACGGAGTATGTAGTCGATGGAGAGCTTACAAACCAACTCATAATTTGTATTCAGTAATTTGATACAAACAATAATTTAATTTGATATCAACAAGATACTTATTTCCTTTACGATAAGGATTATTTTTCCATAATTTTCAGCTTCTTTTATCATATTTCTGAAAATTAATTATGAGTTGCTTATCATCTTATATAACTTATATCTGATTTAGAATAATCACATTAAATATAAAATTTCATACATTCATTATTTCAATTTTAATCCATTAATTGATTAATTCATATTGATATGTGTGTTTAGAATTCAAACTAATAAACTTTCAATACATAATACATAGAAATATTATAAAGAATTATCTAAAATTTATTTCTAGCCAAGATGAACATAGTTCCTACCCTGTTCAATTTTATGTACATAAACTGAAAATTCGGAACGTATTTTTTGAAACATGAATCATAGCAAGATTTATGGCCTTGAATTTATTTTCATTTTCCATACTATTAATAGTAAAAAATATTTTTCATACTACAAATCATTCTTCATCCTGCTTATCAAAGAACTGAAGTTGTGTGATAAAAGATTATTGATTCATTGCATTGATTTGGAAAACTAACTTTAATACATTACTGGTTTTGTATGGGACTTGTTATAAACATTGCACAATGAAGACGCGATGTATACTGATGTATTGAAGGTGCCTGATTTCACACTTACTGTAACAAAGCACTGGTCACTGGTTTTTTAAATAAAGATTGACAGCCAAATAGCTAATAGCAGGAACAAAATTAAAATTACTTGATTTCTGTAATAATTAATTGTAGATAATTAATTGGCTAGGTACTGAGCTATACAGACAAAATATGCAGACAAAAATTATTGACTTTATTAAAAACTTTAAGATAATAAAATTTACTTAAAAATTTAATGTATACCAAATAACTTTGCTGATTTTAGCAAGATTTACCCAAAAATGAAACATGAAAACTACAGTTTACTAACAAAATTATCCGTGAAATCAGGGCAACCGACTGTGGGCATAGACACGAGTGAACAATGTTGTATTTTTATATTAAATGTAGACATAAGTATTAACTATGATTTTGCGTAGGATGGTAGTTCCTGTCACTTATTTTTTTATGTATGTGTTATTGGAATATACAAGAATTATACTTTGTCAGTGTGAATCTTTTATCTCAGAAAGGAGGTATTTAGTTGTAAATTTTGGCACATTATAACTTATTTTAACCTAACACAGTGATCAATTTTGTTCCTTATCGGCTTTTCAAAGGCACGAATTACTTTAAACATGAGATAAAAAAAAAACGTAATTTATTCATCCATTTATTATTTCATCTGTATTTTTATCACCAAACTCATTCTGATTGGCTGCCTGATACATTTAGTGTTGCCATTTCTAATATCTTTATATATTGGTAGTTTAGAGAAAACTGTCCGCAAAGTGACAGGACGTTTTGTGATTTTTTTTAAATAATGTTTTGATAGGGGTGACAGTTGTATTTATAGTACCTAATAATAATGATTATAACGGCATGTCGTGTATAGTTTCCGTTATGTTGGTACACTGTTTTTCTTATAATAGTTGTTAAGTTTCTCCTACTGGACGGTCGCGGTGTAATAGAAAAGTATAGATCAGAAATTACAGAATTAATATGACATTTCTTTGTTTATTTGGTCATCTTTGAAATAATGTCAATAGACATTTTACCTACATTATTTTTATTTAGTAGTCCCGAAGGTGATCAAATACATAAAGCTTCATATATAATTTAGTAGATAGATATATCTATAGATGGTAGACTGATAAACTTACAAAGTATATGTAACCTTATAAATAATATTTTGGTCTTAAATAACACTTGTTACCAATGCAATGGACTTCTGGAGCTTATTTATATTTATAATATTGTAGCTTGACTTAAAAACTACAGATAATTATATTGTATAATATACTTACTTATATAAATATAATGACATACCACCACACTCATAAACATTTAAAATTTACGTAACCCAATCCTTAGATTTGTTTTCGGAACAAAATTCATTCTAAGGAATAGTTTATGTAATTATTAAATATCTCTGAGTAGCAGATAGCGACCAATTTAAAATAATAGTTGGCACTTTAGCTATGTATTCCTAGATATATATATATCTACACGTAGACTTAAAAGCCTAGTTGTCTGACACTAAGATACTTTGAACAAACTGACGGATACGAAGTCTATGCTTCAATATACTAACATTATATTTTAACATATATATGTTAGAAATACATATCTGCCTATCCATTTAGGGTAGGACAGGCGTTAAAAATAATGTTTGGTTTATGTAAGAAACTTAAACAATTAGCATTTTTACTGTAGTCGAACGGGAAAATAGATACTTCAATCTATGCGTTTGACAGTGACAAGAGACAGTGAACGTCAGTCCACTGACTTTACGCTTCGCCATGGCCTCACAGATCGCTGTAAAACTACGCTCGCGTCGTTTCGCCGTGTGAGGTTACTTGAGGCTCAGTCTATTTCTTCCCCTTCCGCCTAACCCCCCATGCAACCATCAAAAGGCAATGCACTCAGTAACTCCTCTGGTGCTACGTGTGTCTATGGGCGGTGCTGATTGCTTAGGTGATCTGTCTGGTCCAAAGTCTTACCCTATTTACTCGTACCATTACAATTAAAATGCTATTTGTTTGAGGATCAAGAAATAATTATGTTCTCTTTCATTTTAAGTTGATCAAGTTCAATGCATTTTGGTATAGTTTTGTATTAATATAGTCGTGATTTCAAAAATTCATTTAATTATATTAATATGATGTGTGGTTTGTATGTTTCCATGTAAATGAAAGTAAAATATGCTGCACAGTGCAAGCGATTTGTGTTATTTTGTGTTTCGGCATGATCCTTTGTAAATTTGATGTTTTCTTTCATCATGTTTGGCAACTGTTATAAATTCAAATTATCGTATTTAACGGCAGAACAGCAAAAACCAATTTGAGGGAATCTTTCTTCACAAACCATTTAAGAGAAGTAGGGTTGTCATATTGGAAGAGCGTCGGGGCGCTAATCTGTAATGTCCACAGCAAATTCATCCCTATCGGCCCTATTATAAGATACACGGATTCGCACCATTTCGACCAAATACACGCGTCTAACGCAATTTTTTGTCTTTAAACGAAAATATGCCTTACAACATTGTTGTAAGGGTGAATTTGCGATATTGACATTTCAAATTACAGCTTCGACAATAGATCAATGTGTATGTATAGAGCCTAAAAAACAATTTGCCTAGTTTATGATCTCTTTTCTTGAACCGAATATTTTGTTACTTCAGTGTTGCCAGTTAATCCACACGAAAGCCGACTGTAAGTTTTTGTAAAGATGTATCGTTGATTTTGAATGTATGTGTAATGTAACTAGCATTAATTAGTAATTATGAATAACGCCACAAAATAAATATAAATTAAGTGATATACAGCATTTTTTATTTGAATTTTTGACACCTCCCAATAAAATTGTTTTGTGCCAACCTTTGATTAGTTTGCACAATGGAACACCTCTATATTGTCAATTTTGATGGGTAAAAACGGGATTCATGTTAGATACTAAGATTTCATTGTCAAGATTGTCCGTATCTGACGTCTTCTGGCTCGTAGTCCTTTTCTGATCCATCGGCCGTCAGTCCTTCGAGCAATGTAGCCTACCCATTGCCACTTCAGCTTGCAAATTCCCAACATGATCAGAAAAGGACCACGAACCCGAAGAAGTAGCGTAGACAGACCTGTTAGGTGGACCGACGACCTCGTCGGAGTCGCAGGGAGCCAATGCATGCCAACTTGACGTTCGGCGTGGAAAACTAAAGTGAAGGCCTTTGTCCAACAGTGGACGTCTTCCAGCTGATGATGATGATGCCTCTATGAAAGTAATACTAAAAATAAAATAAGTATTTAAAAGAGGGCTCCCATACAACAAACTTGATTCTGGTTCCTTGGAACTTCATGCCCGAGTCAGACTCAGTCTAGTCGGTTTTTTTTTAAACTGGTGTAAGTGGATCTAAACTGCAATATGGTTGGTGCAATTGTTGTGCAACCGGCTGCTGTATATATGCGTCAAATTCCCTATGTGATAATAATTGCTTGAGTGATAATCGCTGGACTGCATTCCGCTTAAGAGGGTTTACATAATCCTTAGGATTCCCATGCGGGTTGGTTGCCATGCTTAAGCTTGTGAGAGCCATGCTTCGGCACGAATGGGTCGGCTGGACCGGATTAATACCACGGCCTCACAGCAAATCTGCATGAAACAATGACAGCATTGTGTTATCCCGCGTGAGAGAGGTTACCGGCAACCCTGTCCTTCCTTACCTTCTCCCAACCCGTAAATGGGCGTCGCCGATTGCTTACTATCAGGTAATTCGTCTGCTCGCTTGCCTTGTTCACATAAAAAAGAGTCCAGTTTTTTCAGAGAGCGCTGCAGTTCGGTCTTTCAAATGTGTAGTATTTGTCGCCATTAAAACATCCAAAAAGGTAAGAGTGGTTAACATATTCTACTTTGTATAAACAAGGCACAATCACACAGGCAATTAAATTTTATTTTATGAACCAGTACTCGAGCCTACTTGCCTACATTGTCCAACGAGAATGAGAATTTATATAACAGGACACACTACACGTGACCAGAATATTTAGGGCCTTCCGTGTTTCTCTTTGACCAGTAAAATTAAATTTTGTTACTTAATAAAGTCATAATGGGTAGCATTGTCTTTTTTAAACACATATTTTTATAGGGCTCCATTAGTAGTAGTTCGTAGTATCGTGTTCAATAACTCAATAACTTTTTTTACCTGGTTTCCGTTCCTGTTGGTTTCTGGTATATTCCTCGGTAAATCCACCTGTTTCAGTCCATCTGGTGGACATTGTAATTTTTAGACCGTGCATTGGTCAAATAATAACACCTCTCTTTTTGTGTCGGGGGTTAAAAATCAAATTTGATGCTATCCTCTGACTTGGTCCAGCATCACATCGGTTCATTAATACTTAGGTTACTTACTTCCATTCTAGGCTGTATTGTAAATGCTGGATTCGAGGTAGATCTACATAATGTTCATAGTTTTAGGTTAATAATGACATATTTTCACTAGTATTCATTGATAACCATTCTTTCTGTTTTTTGAACAATAGGGCATTGTATCACTACGAATTCCACCTGTGTCGTGTGATTACGAACACATGCATCACACCCAGACTTGGAACACAAAATGTAGTGGATTTCGCAAAGAGTGACTTTCCGTAGCACCCGCGACAGGTAACATAGCAGTCAGTTGCCAAGCCACCGCGACAACTGTATTCAAATATTGGATAAATATGATTTAGATTTAGTTCTAGATATAAATTCGAAAGTTTTAATTTCATAAGACCGGTGAGAATGCATCTGGTATTAAGTCCACAAAAGTAATTTTATGTTGCATAAAAATAAATTAAGTATTTGTATATTTCCTAGCCCGCCACACGACACACCTGGGTCTCTAACCATAGTAATTTCATGAAACCGATTGAGTTCTGGAGCGTCACGACACGCCACGACGCCGTAATATATTTCTACCCTCATGGATCCCACGTAGTACCTACGGAGCGAGCATTATGTCAGGCATAATTTCAGTACTTTCTGAAAGATCCCTTGCTCGGTAGACGCGCTACTGACATCTAGATTAATGAGACAATCAAAATGCTGTTATTTATATATTTATAATTTTTAGAAAAAACAGGGTCAGACCAACTGTCTAACTGTCAAAATAGGAAAGCGTGGTCATCGGACATTTCACTAGGAAAGTATTGGATAGTGACGAATGAACCGTTGGGCCCTGCCATTTACCGAATCATTGTCACCGAGTCCATATATCGAGTGATGCTCGACTATTTGGAATCGAGTCGATACCTTCACCAAATTCATTGGCCCTTTTACCCATATTAACGCGTTGGCATAGATTTCCCGCACTCAACTAAACTTATTGGGTTAATTAAATGCGTGCAATAAAATGTTGCATGGTAATCAAATATGTCGACGGACCACCTGGAAGGGACTGTTTTACTGAAGCAACTATAAACATCTTGATTCAAATTAATCTTTTGATATAACATACTTATGTATTTTCTGTCTCATTGCATCTTTATAAGGACATATTATCATTAAATCATAAGTCTATCTCACACGGAGAAACAATAAATATTGATTCGAATTTATCTAATATAATATATATATATTTTTTTTTCATTATAGCATATTAATCTTTATTGAGTACAGATCATCATAAAATCCCTATCTCACACAGAGAAGGTTTAAGCTTTCAACACCATGCTTTCTCATGGAGGAATGTCAATTTCAAACATAATAATATACATAATATACAACACAACACAACACAACCGCGAGGTATGTAGTCTCAGGGAATATTTCCTAGCTGCCGACGTGGATATGCATCGAGATGTAGTGGCAGTGGACAAAGGTCTCACCCCGCTCTCCCTGGCTATCGAGAACTGGCGCAAACCCGTCGTACTTGACACTAACGCTCGCAGGGAAGTATGGCAGAGCAAGGAGCTTCACGGACGCTTTTTCCGAGCCCTACATGGACCGGATGTAGACCAGGTGGCGTCCGTAGCCTGGCTGCGTTTTGGTGACCTCTTTGGGGAAACCGAAGGGTTTGTCTTTGCAATTATGGACGAAGTTATCATGACGAATAACTACCGGAGATTTATTGTGAAGGACGGCACGGTTGACATCTGTCGGGCATGTCACCGTCCGGGAGAATCAATTCGTCACATAATCTCTGGTTGTTCTCGTCTAGCTAACGGCGAGTACTTGCATAGGCACAACCTTGTAGCCAGGATCATACATCAGCAGCTTGCTCTGAAATACTCTCTTGTGGAATCGGAAGTGCCGTACTACAGGTATGAGCCCGACCCAGTCCTTGATAATGGTCATATCACCTTGTACTGGGACCGGTATATCATCACTGACAGGACTATTGTGGCCAATAAGCCTGATATTGTGGTGGTGGACCGGAAGGAGAGGCGTGCAATGATTGTTGACATAGCCGTCCCACATGACGAGAACCTTGCGAAAGCCGAGAAAGATAAACTGATCAAGTATATCGACTTGGCTCGCGAGGTTGTCGACATGTGGGAAGTGGATTCAGCTATCATTGTACCGATAGTCGTGTCAGCCAATGGCTTAATAGCCAAGAGCCTCGACCAACATCTTAGGAGGCTCTCGTTAGGTGGCTGGATCAAGGGCTTGATTCAGAAAGTGGTACTCCTGGACACGGCTCGTATTGTCAGGAGGTTCCTTTCTCTGGAGCCCTGACCGCCGGTAGCTTGGACCCAGTTCCCGAAATACAACGCTGTGGTTGTTTCACGCCGGTCTTCTGTGAGGCCGTGGTATCACTCCGGTCGAGCCGACCCATTCGTGCCGAAGCATGTCTCTCCCACACATGTTTGTATAAAACAGTGCCAGAAACAACTTTATTCTTCAGATAACATTTATCTGATTATTGAAAAATCAGCCCTTAGTCGCCTGTTAGTCGCGGGAAAAGCAGGGATGGTGACCAGTACAGTCTACTTTACCATCACCACACGTTGCTTTAAATAGCCATTAAGACAATTACAAAACAATAATAAACCATTTCTATTAATCATGTTCATAGATAAATGGGAACGATAAGCTTTTTGACAAATCAATATAATCTTGCGGTCTAGCGGTCCGCTTATGAAGCGATTGGGTGTACCTTTAGTTGGCAGCATGGAAAAGGATGAAAGCTATAAGTGTGGGAGAGCCATGCTTTGGCACGAATGGGTCGGCTCGACCGGAGTAATACCACGGCCTCACAGAAAACCGGCTTGAAACAACCACAGCGTTGTGTTTCGCCGTGTGAGTGAGGATACCGGAGGCCCAATCCTTCTCCTCCCCCAATCCCTAAATCTCAAAATCCCTAATCCCTAAAAGGTCGGCAACGCACTCGTAACTCCTCCGTTGCGGGTGTCCATGGGCGGCGCTGATTGCTTATCATCAGATAATCCGTCTGCTCGTTTGCCGACTTATAACATTAAAAAAAAGCTTAGTTAAAAAAATAACGAAATACTACTGCTCAATAAGCATTGTGACCACACAGATAGCGTGGTGCCTGGGTAATCGACTGTTGCTGGTTGGATTCCCGCGCTGAACAACTCGCTGTGTGATCTACCAATTAATTATTCTTCTGGGTCTGGGTGGCGTGTGTATGTGAAGTTGTATGTTTGGAAAAGCGCCCACCATACGAGTAATTCTGAGTGCGGCGGTACAATTTTATTAAAAAAAGGCAAAGAAACAAAAATAAATTTCGAATGTCTCATATTTTTTTGTTTTTTTTTTTAAATGTATTTGTTCGGCAAACGAGCAGGCGCATATCCTGATGGTAAGCAATCAGCGCCGCCCATGGACA